CATCTATGACACTCTTTAAAATGTTATCCTGCCTTTGCACAGCAAATGTCAGTGCAGGGCACAAATTTGTGTACCTGTTATGAACAAGTAGATTAATTAGGGGCAAGCACCTTGTGCAGAGGCACATTTACATAGGAGTGTCCATATTGACTCTATATTCTGGTACAATTTGTATGTCTGCTTTACAACAAAAAAAAAAAAACATAACTGAGCCCTCTCACCCTGGTTTTTTCAGTAAGGAGTTTAGGTGGTGGAGACTGTTGTGAAGCAAGAGGGTATTTTTTTGGCTGGTGCTTGCTACACAAAGGTCTAAGAAGGCACAGTGAGAAGAGCTACAGTCAGCCACTGTAAAGGTCCCAGGTTCGGATCTGGACCCTGTCACTTATGGGAATACAGAGGTTAGTCTTCACAAGAGTAAATAAATATCAGCACTACTATTTGCATGTCTGCTTTACAACAAGCAAAAATAACACAAATGAACACTCTCACCCTGTTATTTTCAGTAAGGGGTTTAATTGGTGGACACTGTTGTGAAGCCAGAGGGTATTGTTTTGGCTGGTGTTTTGCTGGACAATGGTCTAGGAAGATGAGGCCGGAGAATCATTAGGCAGAAGAGTCCCAGGCTCTTGTAGAAGGCTTCCCCTTTTTGGAGATCACAGATGCTATGCTGGGCCCCTTTCTTGGGGGCTATGAATAAAAATGGGAAGCCCCAGTGATAACCAAAACCTTGGGGTCGATTTACTAAAGGAAAATATACTGTGCACTGCAAGCACACTTGCTCCAGAGCTTAGTAAATTAGGTAAATCTTCACTTTGCAAAACATATCCAAACACATGCAAAGAAACTAGAAAACACATTTTTGCTTGCACATGATTGGATGATAGAAATCAGCAGAGTTTCCCCTCATTTCCACTCCTTTGCACTGCAAAAACTATTTGCCTTTAGTAAGTCAACCCCTGTGCTTCTGGAGATGTAATGTAATTGAGCATAGGGAGCACCTTTTGGCAGAAGTGATAGATCACTGAAAATGTGTATTTTCTCACATCTGTAGTCGAATGTATTAGGTGTGTTCATCAGAAGAACCCCTTTGCTGTCATAGTAATGGAAATGTACTATGATATCCCTGGGATGAGCTCCCAGTGGTGGTTTAGAGCCCAGAAAATGGTGTATGCTGTCCAGGTACCAGCCAGTGTATTAGGAGCTAGAGTAATGAATAACCCAGCAGGTAGAATCAGAAGTGTGCATTTCCAACCATTTCTGGTTTACCTCTAATGGGAAGATTCTGATGTATGTCCCTTTTCTCCAAGTTCTCCTGTTGGAGATGTAACTGGGAAACATCATGTTTTAATAAAAGGTTTTCTTTTTCTAAAACATGGACAGATTGTCAAATTTAGTCTCAAGGTGGTCTGTACACTTACCCAGTAGTGCAATTTCCTCTCACAATTCATAGGTGATTTCTCCAACTTTTGTAGTGATAGAGCTGGTAATATTTTGGAATAGTGCCTGTAATGTTTCCTTCAGAATATCTGGAGTTAGATATGGCACTATTGTGGAAGGGGCAAGGGAGTGACCAAATCATGTGTCCTCCCCAGGGTCCTGGTTTGTGTTTGTGCATGCCATCTGGGTATCTAATGTACCTGTGGCCAGGGATGTAGGATACTACATGTAAATTACTTAAAGAGGATGAAGGTCCATTTTAAGTTATTGAAAAAGTCTTTTTAATTTCTAATTGCATGGTTTGACCCACTTTGCAAACTCTATTGGAGATTGTCAGCAAATTTGTGGGGGAAATGGAGTTCACGTTTTGCTTGCTGCTCTCTTTAAAAAGGGATCAACTGATAGAATACATTAAAGTCTAATTTGTACTATGCAGCGAACAGCAATAATTTCTAATAACAATGTACAATAACATTAATAAAGAGTATTAGAAGTTTAAAACTAAAATCGATATATATAAGTCAACTGGTGCATTCTAATGATATGTTAATCGCTAGCTGTCAAGAAACCTTAGAGAGAAATGTTGACATATGGTTTGAAGAAATATTGTAATTAGCCATTCCAATACTAAGAGTATGTTTGTGGTTAGAAAGCCTAAAGAGTATAGCTTAGTGTTAGGGGTAAAGGAATTAGAGAAAGTGCATTCTTATAGGTACTTAAAAGCTACTAGGCAGAGCCAAAATGGAAAAATAATTTAATGCAGGAACAGGTGTAGCTGAAAGATATTTTCAGTCCCATAGAACTGAATACTTAAACAAGAAGTAAGTTCTGAAAAGTACAAAACTGAGAGTGTACAAATTAGCCTATGTACTAGTATTTAGATACATACATATACAGTATACCAATATTATTGCCAAAAGTATTGGGACACCTGCCTTTACACACACATGAACTTTAATGGCATCTCAGTCTTAGTCCGTAGGGTTCAATATTGAGTTGGGCCACTCTTTACAGCTATAACAGCTTCAACTCTTCAGGGAAGACTGGCCACAAGGTTTTGGAGTGTGTCTATGGGAATCATTGACCATTCTTCCAGAAGCGTATTTGTGAGGTCAGGCACTGATGTCAGACAAGAAGGCCTGGCTCGCAGTCTGCGGTCTAATTCATCCCAAAGGTGTTCTATTGGGCTTAGGTCAAGACTCTATGCAGACCAGTCAAGTTCCTCCACCCCAAACTCACTCATCCATGTCTTTATGGACCTTGCGTTGTGCACTGATTTGCAGTCATGTTGGAACAGGAAGAGGCCATCTCCAAACTATTCCCACAAGGTTGGAAGCATGAGATTGTCCAAAATGGCTTGGCATGCTGATGGCTTAAGAGTTCCCTTCACTGGAACTAAGGAGCCAAGCCCAACCCCTAAAAAAACAACCCCACAACATAATCCTCCCTCCACCAGACTTTACACTTGGCACAATGCAGTCAGGCAAGTACCGTTATCCTGGCAACTGCCAAACCCAGACATGTCCATCGGATTTCCAGACAGATAAGCATGATTCTTCACTCTAGAGAACATCTCCATTGTTCTAGAGTCCAGTGGCAGGGTGCATTACAGCACTGGACCCGGTGCTTTGCATTGCACTTGGTGATGTAAGGCTTAAATGCAGCTGCTCGGCCATGGAAACCCATTCCATGAAGCTCTCTACGCACTGTGGTGCAAATATGAAGACCACACGAAGTTTGGAGGTCCTTAGCTATTGATTTTGCAGACAGTTGGCAACTTCTGTACACTGCGCGCTTTAGAATGCGCTGACCCCTTTCTGTCATTTTCCATGGCCTACCACTTCATGGCTGAGTTCCTGTTATTCCCAGTTGCTTCCACCTAATACTACAAACAGCTGACCGTGGAATATTTAGTAGCAAGGGAATTTCATGGTTTGACTTATAGTACAGGTGGCAACCTATCATGGTACCACAATTGTATTCACTGAGCTCCTTAGAGTGAATCATTATTTCACAAATGTTTATAGAAGCATTCTGCAAGCCTAGGTGCTTGATTTTATACACCTGTGGCCATGAAGGTGATTGTAACAACTGAATCCAAGGATTTGGAGGGATGCCCCAATACTTTTGGCAATATAGTATATATATATATATATATATATATATATATATATATATATATATTACGGTCACCCCCAGTTCATACAAATAAGGTTCATAAATCAAAAAAAACGCTTTTGGATAAATTCAGATATCAGATTGTTGATTATATCTGGAGAAGGATCTGCTACAGAGGATTATTGAAGGGATTATGGAATATGTTATGATGGTTTAGCCAAGTAACCAAGATGACTAAAGAGCCTATAGGAAGACTATGGAATTTCAAGAGCGAGCATAGGAGACTAAAAAATGGAAGACACGAGGTAAAAAGGAATACTAAATAGGGAGTTAGGTAGCATATAGCAACACAGAAAAAGGTGCAGATGGGAGAAAAGCAAACATGAAGTCAATTGTTTGACACAAATGGACAATACCCTACAACTCACTGAATATGATAACATTGATTCATACAAGTAAATTACTTAAGAGCCATTTGTTCTTGTTTATGTTTTGCTTGTTATACAATGTTCCTGTAATTTCACATAAGAAGCACTTTTGAACATAATATGTTTGGTACATTTTGCAAGTAGTTGTGGTTGAAATTAATGTCTTAAAAGCACCATCACAAATGTCTATGTTGTTGATGTGCTTAGTTCATCTTAGATTCTCTCAGTATTTGTTTTTTTATTTTCATATGCCCATGTCTCAATTATATTTACTCATGTAATGCAGAAAAGTGTGCCATGGGAGAATCAGGTCATATAGTTCCATAATTACAGTTCTGAAAGTGGTGAATTAAATTGTGTCTACTGGGACTAACATTTCCTTATAACTGCAATAGATTAAGACTTGCTTTCAGTCACAAACAAAGCCTCAGAGTTATGATACCAAAGAAAATGTTTATTCCAAATATACTGCTGTAGTGAAGAAAATAACCAGCTAAAAAGAACAAAACTGCATGTGCAATATGATTACAATAAAAACACAATTTGTTTTGTTTTAAGATGGGCTTACTACTTCCTTTTTTGCTAACATTTACCAAGTTGGTCCCAGTCTGCTGTAATTCATCCATGTTTGATGAATTGTTTTTCCACTCTGGGCTTTAAGAAGATAGAGTTCCCCCCAGCAAGATATTCTTCCCATGTTGTTAATTGTAATCTTCTGTTGGGATTTTGAAGGCAACCAAACAAACAGAAATACAAAAAACTAATTCAACCACTAGCCTACAGGGCACTTATACCCCCTTCCTGCCCTGGCCAATTTCCAGCTTTCAGTGCTGTCGCACTTTGAATAGCAATTGCGCGGCCATGCAACACTGTACCCATATGAAATTTTTATCATTTTTTTGTGACAGATAGAGCTTTCTTTTGGTGGTATTTAATCACCTCTGGATTTTTTCTTTTTTCTTAAACAAACCAAAAACCACTGAAAATTTTGAAAAATAATGTTTTTTCTTAGTTTTGTTATAACATTTTGTAAATAAGTGATTTTTCTCTTTCACTGATGTGCGCTAATGAGGCTGCAGTGATGGGCACTGATAGGTTGCACTGATGGACACTGATAGGTGGCACTGATGGGCACTGATGAGGAGGCACTGGTAGGCAGCACTGATATGTATTGACAGACATCACTGATTGGCACTGAAAGGCAGCACTGATATATGGAACTGATAGATGGCACTGACTGGCACTAATAGGCGGCACTGACTGGCACTGATAGGCGGCACTGACTGGCACTGTTAGGCGGCACTGATAGGCGGCACTGATGCGTACTGATAGGCAGCACTGACTGGCACTGATAGGCAGCACTGAATGGCACTGATAGGTGGCACTGATTGGCAGCA